TGTGTGTGTGTGTGTGTGTGTGTGTGAGAGAGAGAGAGAGACAGACAGACAGACAGATAGATAGATAGAGACAGAGACAGAGAGANTGTGTGTGTGTGTGTGTGTGTGTGTGTGTGAGAGAGAGAGACAGACAGACAGACAGACAGATAGATAGATAGAGACAGAGACAGAGAAGCAGAGAGAGAAAAAAAAGAAAGAGGAGGGAGATTTGAGGTTGAACTGGATGATCCCCGAGATCATCTCTGTAGCTACATCTTATATTGCTATGCAAGGCACTTTTTTGAAGGATGGAATTGTTTCCTGGTGCTGTTCAGGGCTTCTCCTGAGACTCCTGGAGAGACAAGGAGGGTTACCTGTACAGAGTCCTGCAGAAGGGATTGGCTGGGACCTCTGACTGCTGACAGGATTTGTGACTGTGCAGATAAAGTTCGGCTCACTTTCCCCAGGTCTCCAGGAGACTGTGAGGTTGGGTCCCTCATAGGCAGTGTTTTCCTCTCCATCTTTCAGGGATATCCAGTTGTAGGTCACATTTTTCCCCTCCTTTTCCAGGAAGCACAGCAGAATGACATTACAGGTATCATTCTCAGACCCTGTAAAGTTTACCGTGACTTGGGGTTTGCTCAGTTCCTCTGTATGGGGAGAAAAGACATGAAACTGAGGAAAAATAGCTTAGCTCCCTGTAATAAACAATTCCATTGCATTGCATCAGTATTCTTACTGATTCCTTCAGTGTAAGCTGCAATCTGTAGAGGCTCTATGAATGACTGTAAATGGTAAGGTAGGTTTAGGAATTCATGATCATGGGGCCTGAGAGTTTGCTGAAACCAATGTCTTACCAAGGAGTTGTATTGGCAGAGGGACCTGGAGGTATGACTAGAGTTACTAGAGGAAAAAACGCAGGAGGAGGATGAAGAGGAAGTTTGAGGCTAGGATAGTTTGAAGTGAAAGTGGAGACTTCTATAGAGACTAGGCTTGGAGACTAGGGAGGGTCATCACTGGGAAATTTTGCATTTGTGTTGGTACCACAAACCACGGTTAGAGCTAGCAGCACGGAAGGTGACCTCAGCTGGAAAGGGTGGGGCTGGGGAAGAGTCAGAAACTATTAAGAGGAGAAAATGGAGTGGGAGAGTGGGGAAGAAAGAAACCTTGGGATGCCCCAAGAAGAGGCTTCTTTTGCCCTCCACCAAGGAAACAGACCATTTGGTAACCAATTTTGACCAATTATGCTTGATAGCTGCTAAGGTCAGTTAATTCCACCCCCCTCCCCCCGCAAAAACCTCACAAACTCAAAACCTCATATATTATTATTATTTTTATCTCCGTCATTTTTAGATATGCTGTACTGGTTAGTGCTACATAACTAAATTCCTCCCCCAAACTCAACTCTTAGTGGAAAAACAGTTAAACAAAAGTAACTGATAAAGTGATCACCTCCAATAATTTTACAATATTTCATTCTCATAGTCCCCTCATTGCAGGCTGAGAGAAAGGAGTCATGATTTATATTTGTTCTCTAGGTATTGGTCTTTACAATTAAACAGTTTTCCCCCACCCTGTCCCTTCAGTGTTCTCTTTTGTTAACATTACAGCAGTAGTGTAGATTGTTATTTTTTTGTCTATTGCTACATTTATGTCATTACTTTCCTTAAATGGCCCTTCTTTCAAACTGCCTTATTTCTATGCACCACTCTCCTTCAATTTGTCCAGGTTTTAACTCACTTTTAACAAGGTAAAATTTGGATTCAGTCAAAAGGCCGCACTTAAGGATTTAGAAGGCCACATGTGGCCTTAAGGCCACAGGTTCCCTACCTCTGACCTAGATGTTTATATAAGTCTGTTTTAGGCTTCTTCAGATCACACTAGATGTCCTGAGTGGTCCTTTCCGACTCAGAAATTGTATGATTTTCTCCTAAACCAGGCAAAGCTGACCTCTGAATCTAATGTCTGTATTTATTGAGCTGAACTTAATTTATTTCCTAATAAATCCTGTGGTAAAACAGTTTCTGCTATATATAAGATAATAATTCAAATGTGTGTTACTGTTCTAACTACTTACTACAAGCATGGAGAAGGGCTGTATTTTTGAGTCTGAAATCACAGGAAAGCATCTCCTTCCTTAAGGTTATGACCAGGAAGTTAGGCTGTCATACTTGCTGATGGAGCAGAGTATAGGCATGAAAGTGATATCCTTCAAAGATGACTGCCCATTTCCATTCTCTCTTGTATAGGAGAGCTCCACCTATTTTCCATACCTCACGTGCATGGTGACCATTCCACCACACCTATCCCCTAGGTGTGCTCCATTGTATGTCTTCTCAGCACTCATCGTTCCTCCTTTTCTTTATCCTTGGACAGAGACTAAGTTAACTTCCCTGGTTGGAAGTCATGCTGAACCTTCTCTTTATTCTTACTTTTTTTCTTTTAAAACATTGATATATTTGTTTTATATCACCTTCATTTCCAAATACATCCTTCTCACTCCCCAGAAAGCCCTCTATTATAACAAATAAAAAAAAGAAAGAGAAAAAAAGACAGTTCAGCAAAACTAACCAATGCATTAATCATGTGAGAGTATATGCAATGCTCTATATCCATAGTCCCCCACCTATGCAAAGAAGGTGAGGGAGAGTGAAGCACATGGATTTCAAAGTAATAGTAAGAGACTAATCTTCTCTTTAGTCTTAAAGTTCATGCACAGGGAAGTCTGGGTTGATTCCTGCTCTAACACATACAGGTTCTTTGACCCCAGGCAAAACACTTAACCTCTCAGTGCCCTCTAGCCCACTCTCTAAGACCATACATTATATAACAAGCACCAATACAGAGTTTCCTTACAAGGATTTTTTGATACCATTGAAATTACAAATCTAGATAAAAAAAAAGTTCATACATAGTTAAGCTTGTGACTTACCATAAACATGTAGGAAGTACTCTTGAATTAAGGTTTCAGATTGGCCTTGACGCTCTATGGTTATTTGCCCTTTGTAGCAATATTCATCTTCTATTGTCAAATTGTTGATTTGCAAAGAGTAGTTTGACTCTCTGGAGGTTGTCAGTCGATTATAGTACTTGGAATCAGTAATTATTATCTTGGGGTTTTGTTCTTTTACATCGACAGTGGCAAGAGAGTTGCTAGAAAGCCAGACAATAGTTCGAATCTTGTCTGATGGGATCTTCAAGGGGAGAATGACTGACTTTCCCACAGTCCCTATCACCATCAATGGGACTTTGTTGTCTGTGGAGCCGGCTTCTTCTGCAGACAGACACAGTAGAAAAACTACAATGGTAGTCTACTTTCCCCTCTCCCATCCCCTTTTCCATTTCCCTCTAAACACTCTAGCTTATGGAAGTGATGGTCAGAAATAGGTTTGGGGTGCCGAGTTTTGTTTTTGTTTTGATACCAACAATAGTAGAAACCCCCACCTCAACTTTAAATAAATAGAGGTCCCTGGCCTAGGTCCTTACTTGGCTCACTTGTTTTTGTGTCAGTTTCCTCTTCTATCTTGATCTACAACCACCATGTCATTTAATTTTTCAAAAGAATAACTAGAATTTATGTAATATTCTAAGGTTTGCAAAGCACTTTACATATGGTATATCATTTGGTCCTCCTAAGCTAGGGAGGTAGATGTTATTATTATCCCAATTTTATCAATGAGAAAACTGAAGCAGAGAGAAGGTAAGTGGCTTGCCCAGAATGACACAGCTAGTTAAGTGTCTGAGGCAGGATTTGAACCCAGATCTTCCCAGCCAAGTTCAGTATTCTTTATACCAGGCTACTTAGATACCACAGGCTTATTGCATATTGTTCATCCCCTTTTTGATTCTTTAGGAATGAGGTGTTATTGGGGCAAGAACCACATTACCCACTTGGAAGCAGCCTCATGGAACAGAGATAACTTCTGCTTCAATTCAATTTAATAACAATTTATTGAGCATTATGCTACAGGCTGTGGGGAGTACAGAAGGCAAAGTCCTTAGACCTCAAGCTGAGGCTGGAAGAATAACAAACATGAAACAAATAGAAAACAATTCTAAGGCAATATCTCAGTCAGTGTGTTATAATATGATAGAAACATAAATATTGATGGAATTTAAAGTAAAGTGAAGTTTATTGTGCGCTGTGGTTAGTCACAGAAGGCTTCATGGAGAAGATGAATCTTGCAATGGCCTAAAGGAAAATAAAGGATTAGTGCTGGGCAAGAGGAAAGAAGAGGAAAGTCACCATGTTCCTCTATTCCTCTAACCACTCGGTATTTTCTTAGCATTAGTAGGGCTTTTTCATTGAAGTACCTTAAGACAGGCACTCTGTACTGGCTGTTAATGGGGTCTTGGAAAGGCCAGAGGTGAAACCTGAGGGCTAAGCAGTGGTAAGATTGCAGAGGATAGTTTGGAGGAAGTTTTGTTTTTCTTTCACAAAATGTTCTATAGCCATTATTTCATTCATTCATTCCCCAGGATTCTGGAATTCCAAATAATTAGATGCTTTTCCTTTATTCCTATCCTTTTAATCTACTTACCCATATTCTCTGGCTGATAGAAGCTGGAGGGACTTGTTACCAGAGGAATTTGGGTAGAGACCAAGATAATTTAATCAGAGGGTCATAGATTAAAAATTGGAAGGGTCCTTAGAGAGTGAACCCTCCCATTTTATAAAAGAAGAAATGGATATCAAGACAGGTTAGAAAGTCAACCAATAACTATTAAGCACCTGCTGTGTGTCAGGAATGGTGTTAAGCACTAGCACTGGGGTATGCAAAGAAAGGCACAATGAGAGTCTCTGCTCTCAAGGAGCTCACAGTCTAATGAGGTAGGCAACACGAAAACAACTGCATACAAGCAAACTATACACAGGACACAATGGAGATAATCAGCAGAGAGAGGGCACTAGATTAAGGGGAATTTACACTGGCTTCCAGAAGGTACAATTTTAGCTGAGAATTTGAAGGAAGCCAGGGAAGCCAGGAGGTGGGGATGAGTAGGGAGTCAGCCAGTGAAGATCCCTAGAGTCAGGAGATAGAGCATTTTGTCTGAGGAGTAGGCAAGGACACCAGAGTTAAGTGACTTACTCAGGATCATGCAAGTAGTAAAAAAAAACAAAACAACACAAGTAATAAGAAACAGGATCAGTATTAAATCACAGGTCTTCTGATACACTTTACAGCAATCTATGTTGCACTGATAAGGTCTCTAGGCCTGACTCAACCATTTGAGGATACACTTTGAGGATACCTCTTGAAGAGTTTTATTTGGCATCTAGGGATTTCCCAAGAGGGGCCTATTCTCAACTCAGCCTTTTTGGGGCTGGTTGGTAGGCATAGAAAAGCAGATGAGGAGGACTGTGAGTCTTCTGTATCTTCTAGTCCTGTGCCCCAGACTTCCAGTGTAGAAACCTACCTCCTTGCCTGCTCCAGCAACATGAACCCTCCCAAGTCAAGAAAGCTTCTCCAAGACAAAAGGGTCTTTTTCATATGGGGAAAACTGGATTTCAGGAGAGGAGAGGGTAAAAAGGAACAGAAGATGCTAATAACCAAGAAGCTCCAATTTACACAGTGTTTTTGATGAAAAGAACCTCCTTATCCATTATCTCAGGTCATCCATCCATCCATCCATCCATCCATCCATCCATCTATTCTTTTATTCACACACTGAGAAGCAGAATGGCTTAATCTATATAGAGCCAGTCTTGGAGCTTCGAAGAACTGAGTTTGCCATTCTTCAGATACACACTGGCTGGATTACTCTGGGCAAGCCATTCAACCTTTTAGTGCTCTAGGCAACTCTATAAAATCATAAATTGAAGAGAAGGTGTCTATCTGCTTTGGTATAGGGAGTTTCCTTGTCTAGTAGTTCCCTACGTCATAGAAATAAAAAATTTAGTTCCTATCCTGATTTAATTCATTCATTTTCTACTACACATAAGGCACTGAGACAGATACAAACATAAAAGATAATGCCTTTGCCATTGAGGAGCTTATAATCAAGGTGATAACATATGAACACAGATAAATATAGTACAAATAGCATATAAGTCCATAATAGGAGGACAAAGGGTTATAAGAGGAGCTGAAGGAATGGTCCCCTCAAGCTAGGGGAATAGGAGAAGGCTTTACAGAAGAGATGATATTTGAGTTGGGCTTTGAAGGACAAGTAGGGGCCTTCCAGATATGGGGAACAGTGTGAGCAAAAATAAAGAGGAAAGATAGCATATGAGGTATAATTGGAGGAAAAGAAAGCCATGTAACTGAGAGAATCAAGGGAGGTTTCACAGAGTTGATGGAACCTGAGCTAATCTTTGAAGGAAGCTAAAGAGATCAAAATGAGGAAGGAGTACATTCTAGACATCAGATACACTTTATGAAAGTGCATAGAAGCTGGAAAAGGAATGTTTAGGGAAGATTCAGTAGTTCAGTTTGGCTGGAATAAAAATTTTGTCAAATAGTAAATATATATTTATAAATTATTTCACAAAAATATATGTAAATTAAATTATTGCTTATTATTGTAAAGTAATGTGAAATAAGGTTGGACAGGTAGGTTGAAGCTAGATGTGCAAGACCTTGAATACTTGGCTAAGAAATTTATATTTTATTCTAGAGGAAATAGGAAGTCAGTGAATATCTCTGGTCAAGGCTATGATGTAGTCAGACCAGTCTTAGGAATATTATTTTGATAGCTGTGTGAAAAATCAATAATAGAATAAATAAGGATTAGCAATTGATTGGTATATCTCCCAGGACAGAGGGGAATCTGAGGTATTTTGAGATTGCAAACATAGGTGACTGGGAGAATAATATAGCCATTGACAGAGATGAAGAACTCAGGATAAGCAGCAAGTTTAGAGGGACAGATAATGGGTTAATTTTCAAACTTATTGAACTTAAGGTACCAATGTGACATACTCATGTGGACATGTCCAGGAGGCAATTTGAAATTGAGGGGAGTTCAGATAGAGAGGTAGACTAAGAAAATTTTACCATAGAAGTGATAATGAAATGTGGGAGTAGATGAGATTATCAAGGGAGAAGGTGTAGGATAGAGAGGTAGGAGGAGAACTAGGAAGTCAAGAGAATAGAGAACATTTAGGAGGAGTATGTGATTGACCTCATCGAATACAGCAGATTGGTCTAGGAGGGTGACAACTGAGTAAGGACAAACTGACTGATGGTAAGGTAAAGTATCATGGATAGTCATGGGTCAAATCAGATCTTTCCCTCTTCCTTTTAGTATTTTAATTTTTTTTGATTCATCTTTGTCTCCTCATGTAATAGTAGCACTCAAAGATCCCAAAGTATAGGTTTGGGAATGTATTCAATGGTCACTATCTTGTGTCTTCCACCAAATGAAGTGCTAGAACATCCAGGCAAAGTCACGAAGTGGTGAAACTCAATAACATGTCAGAGAGAGAACTTTTTATTTATAAAGTGAAGGTTAAGAAGGCATTTTTACATATAAAATGAAAGCTAAGAAGGCATTTTTTTAATCTGCTAGCTTCCCATCAACTGGGTGTACATATTGTACTTCACAAGAGTTTGGTCTATCCTGGAGTTGGGAACATTATAGACGGGATAAGAATATTTTTCACACAAGGAAGTTCTGAGGAAACGAGCAACTGTGTTCTTAGCCCCACAATCCATGGCCTGGTCATTGGTGATTTCAAATATCTTTCAGTAAATTAGGTTCCAGATATGTAGGTTTTATGTGTAAGTTGTTGTTGCCATTTCTCTGGTATGCTGGCAGATTTGTCACATTTAGAATACATTTACTACTACATGGTAAGATACAGACAGGACAGACTTCACTTCTCCGGTTTATGAAAGTTAATTCCTGAAACCCACAATACTAAGAAATAGTCATCTAGCTTTTGCTTCAAGATTTCCAGTAAGAGGGAACCTGTTGTCTCCTTATATCCAGCTCAAATTGATCTCTTTGAAACTCCTACCCATTGCATCCAAATCTGGCCTCTTAGACTAATACTCTAATCCCTCTACCAAATAACAATCTTCAAATAAGGACCAAATCCATCTAGCATGTTTTATCTTCCACACGTTAAATATCTTCATTTCTGTCAACCAATTCTCATATAGCATCTTCTGAGAGAATGGGAGTGTATTTAGAAAGAAAGGTGAAGTTTTGGAAATGGCATTGTAGGGAGTGGGAAATGGAGGTAATAGGTAAAAGGTTTGTGTAGAAACAGTAAAGGTTCAGCTGAAGCTATGCAGCATAAATCTATAATGGTGAGAATTAGCTCAG